CGTAATCAATGCGTAGCTGCGTAGGAGCATGAGCGAGATTTATCATCAAATGACCGCTGGCCGGTAGGTACCTGGGCGGGCGAGCGACAATACGTAAAAGCGGTGGCATGGTTCGATTGACAGAGAAGTGGGGAACGGTCAGACGTAGGGGAAAGGTTCAGGCTGAACCGTTCAACACAGCGCAGCGTCAGTCACCGGGTGGGGAAGAGAGTCCGGGAGGGGACACTTCCCCTCGAGTGAAATAGAAAAAGGCAGAATCCTTCGAAGTTTATATTAATGATATTGTACATTCAATATTTTAAGGATAGAAATAAAACCAAATATTCACCAAATGACAATTTAAGAAGATGATTCAAAAGGAGAAAGTAATAACATTTCATTTAGAAAATGAGCAACCATAACAACACCTCCTTCTCTCTCAATTTCGCATTTCCATATTGTCAATATACATATAATTTTACATACCGACTAAAATATAACGCTTGGACCAAGTCACTGTTGCTTATTTTACGCGTGGGCGTAAACTACTGGACAAAAAAGGTGAGCGGACAAAAAATCGTTGACAAAATGTCCTGAAACCACTCTCTATACATGAATGCATGAGACGGAGAAAAATAGGAGAAATTTCAAAGAGAAATATCTTTCGTTGGATATGGGGGGTGGGTATGGGTCATCTGCATAGTTGCATCGGTCAATCAGCGTTTTGTATTTATTTATTCCATGCTATTTGTACAACAGTACAACTTACCAATCAGAGAGCACGAGAAAGTTATTAGGTGATGAGTATTCTTGCTCCTGAAAAAATCAGCCAGTAATTCAGGAGCCACCGATCCCAAGTCATTCCCCTCGAGTAGGAGTGAAATAAAAAATACAATTAACAGAATCATCCTATCGTCATTTCACAGGTTTACTAATGCATTCGGAGAACCCATCGCCGTGATTACCTATCTCGTTACTCCATTAAAATGCGGTCGGGCAAACTCGAGTGAAAAATACGAAGTGACATTTTCGACCCGTCAACTTACATCACATGTTGACGTACTCGAACGCGTGCTTGGTTACTGGAATAAATATTTGCAAAAAGAATTGGCTCGCTACTTATCGTGCGAGCACGGCAACGATGAAAGAGAGCCTCTATTGCCATTATTTGCAAGCCCTTTTGTGCTGTGAAGTTGAATTATGAATTGTTTAAACATACGGAGTTCAATTTCAACGATCGTCTGAAATGATAGGCCGTTTTTTTCACAGGCTATTGGGAGATGTGCACTATGCTGCCGTGATAGCGAGGAGAGCATGTAAATGTCAAATTTTCGAAATCGAGTTTCCTTCAAAATTCGTCTGAACTCTTTTAGATGAAATCACTGAAATTGCGGAAACAACAAAATTCATCCTAATGTAGCAAAACGAGACATCTGAGAAAGCTGTAAGTGCGCAAAAAATGACGTAGTCTTAGGCAAGACAGCAGTAAGTGACAATATTCCTCCAGAGAGCCAATGAAAACAGTGCTTTCAAGTAAAGTGCATACCCTCTTCAATGTGTTTGTTGTGTGTCCTAAATGCAACCACGAAAGCATGCAGAAGATACCACTTACGGCTGTCTTGCCTAACAATAACCTAGCATGAAAATGGAAAATACCCTTTTTATGTAATAATTGAAATAAAATCAGTAGATTTTTAATCATCCAAACGATTTCTAGGAGTCTTTCGGACTATTAGTGGCAACTTGACAAAGAACGGAGGATTCTTTCAATAAAATTTTCCGGTCAGAAGCCTCTTGGCCCGTTTTCTTAAAACTACATTTTTGCACTCACTGCTTTCTTCGCTATCACGGCAGTATGTCTGAAAATAAGACGGATTATGTAGATCGTACATTTCAAGGAAGGCGGACGATGGCAACAATTGAATTTTTTCGGTATCATTTTTTTATTATTATTATTAATTTATTTTCTTATTTATTTTTTATTTTAATTGTATGTTCTATTTTTACAGTACTTAATAATTATTCTTCTCAAACTACTTTAGTTTTGTTACATAAGAAACACAGTTTGCAAAGGGGTTTTTTTTTTCTCTCTCTCTCTATTTCGATCCCCCACAACCCGCACAGTCCTATGAGGAGGAGAAAAGGATTCTGTCCCTGATAGGATCAAGTTGTTTAGATTCGTTCCACCAGTTGTTCCAAGTGCTATAAATAAATTGTCGCTACCATATTTGTCTACATCCCGTTATTGGTTTCCCAAGAAGGGATACCGGCAATATACTTGATAACGCCCTGAGAGCCGCAAAAAACAGGAAATTGATCAGTCATCTTAGATATGGATTAAAGGGAGAGTGAGGTTCAGAATTGTCTCTAGAAGACTAAAATTAAACGTTTTCAAAACAAAATGGACCACTAGACTAGGTAGGAATTTCAGCATTCTGATACATGTTTATTATCCAAAATTTCACGTAAAACACGATGCGCAAAACAAAAATTACCGAAATCAACTTCTTACAAAGATATTTAATGATTCCTGATGCGTGAATTCAAACCACCCGCTCATTAAAACTCAATGCTCTACGTGATTCACATTGCAGCTAAACATTATCATGACAGTCTTTGCGATATAAAAATCTGGCAAACTCAGTCTTGACGGTTTGGCTCAGGTATAGCAAATTGCTTATATTTTGAACAACATATGGTGGGGGATGAACAGTGTTCGATTGAGGAGCTTGGTGAAACCATTGTACTGCGCGATTTGACTCACGTAGAGCTTTGAGTTACTTGTGGGCGGGCAATTCAAATTCCTCGTAACCAATGTGAAATAAAAACGTTAATATCTTCGTTAGGAGTTGGTTTCAGTAATTTTCGTTGTGCGAATCGTGTTTTACGTAAAATTCTGGTTAAGAAACCTATATCAGATTACTTAAATTCGTACCTTGTCTAGTGGTCCATTGTTTCCAGTCCTTTATTAGGGGTAGGTTAATTCTGGTTCGCCTTTCACATTATTTTTCCGAGGGGTCAGGAAACAGGAGAAGAGTCCCTTCTTTTTTATTTGAGATAGGTTCCTCTCCCAAACATTTTTGACTTGGGCGATGGCGGCTTCGATGGTGGGTGCTAGCGGGCAGAGCCGGGACCCGGACAGCACTTCTTCCATCCGTTCCTGAGTCCATCCCGCGGGCCACTCCACGGACCTAAGGTTCCCTCTTGCGTCTTTGCGAGCGAGTTTGAAGTTCGCTGAAGTGACGTCTGTCTCTCTGTCAAAATGCCGATGGACGGGGCAGTCGTTGCTGGCCGGCAGGTAGTGCCACGTCCGATAATCGCCGTAGCTCCGCCCGTACACAATGTAGTCCATGTAGTGACGACAGCTGCAGCTGAAAAAATTCGTTCATACGCTAAGAAATATCGACGGTGAAACTTAAAGCGTATTTTCGTTGATGATCTGTCGAACCAAAATGGATGGATCAAACGGTTTCTTATTTTATTTTGACGCGATCATAATTTTTCGGAACAACATCGCGACTCACCAGACAGATAGAAGGTGGAATTCTTGCAAACGTTGGAGTCAAAATGTAATCCTACAAAAAGTAGGGTTTAAAAATGACAAAGACCTGATGAAGATGATGGCATCCGACCAGCGTCAATTCCGAAAGTCCAAACTCAAATATTAACCAACCCGCCCTGGTAAAAATTGGCAGTAGAATCTGTGTTCCAAAATACCTTAGACCTACAGCATTGCGCAATGCGTGAAGTATCCCTGTTAGGTTTGTAGGCGCCAGTGCGCCGCCGCTCCGCTTTGTATTAGGCTCTAATATTTAATCCCGTGGAGTCAGCGTTTTTCAACTCATTACTTTCAAATGTTTGCACACTCTGTATGGATTATTCTCATTTTAATCGATGAAAAAAAATATGTGGTGAAGGAAAATATAAGGTGCGCTTTGTAAATATTAAGGTGATTCTGTACAAACTTAGGGATTTACAAAGCACACGAATTTCTACACAATTTCTTATAGCCTTTTATAGGCGATGGCGAAAAAGCAACAGCCAGGCGATAAAACGTAAAGCCCGGCGATAGGAACTACAGCCCGGCTGTAAAATTTTTTATCGCCTTGTGTAGCCCCGCCGTATGATTTTTTCCACTTTCTACAGCCAGCTATACGATTTTCTATCGCCTTCTTCAGTCAGCTATAAGAACTCCTATGGTATTTGAAACGCAGCTCCTATCGCCAATTTTTACCAGGGCGAGTATGACCTCGCCGCCATTATCGCGGAATTTTGGCTTGACCGATCATCAACGGAAAAACGCTTTTAGAGATAAACGATAAAGCACAATACACGAATAAATGAGTGGTTATGTGATGACGGCGGGGGTCCGGTCGACACTCAATTTTTTTCTTTCCTTTTATTTATTTATTTATTTGTGTTTTTTGCAGATGAAAATGGGTTGGTAACAACTCGAAACGTCCTGTCTTTTAGTATTTTAATGTTTTAGCTTTGTTTACTCATGTTTTAATTTCCTCCTCGTTTCTTAGAGATATAGATAATACACAAAGAAAGCCCAAATAGTTTAATTAGAAAAAATACAAAACAATGGGTGATCAAGGCTAAAAACAGAGACATAAGGAACCTGGGACGTTTCGGGGGTGGTCTCAACCCCCTCCTTCCTCAGGAAACAAAAATAAAATTCAAAAATAAACTTAATAACTTAACTTAAACTTGAATAAAATTTATTTTTTATTTATTTTTAAATTTTATTTTTGTTTCCTGGTCGAGGAGGGGGTTGAGGCCACCCTGAAACGTCCCACGTTTTTTTTTGTGTCTCTGTTTTTGAAAATAATTCACCTCTTATATCCAATGAAACTCTTCGCGCATGAATAGGAACGAATACATTTGCAGGGTTGGTACTTGTGTGGGGAAATTAAAGGTCAAAATTATAATATTTCAGTCTGTAGCCCCGGCATGTATATGTAAAGTCTCTCTTACAACGCACTCTGGCATTCTGCGACACCCAAACGCCACATATGAGGACTTATCTGTAACAATAGCGGATGTGAAAAATTACCTTTTCGAAACACATTCAAAAAACTGTTTTGGCATCGAGAAAATTTTGAGAAAATACTTGAGATGTGATCTTCGAGATCTGTACATTATGCCAGAGCCAAACATATTAAATTTTTGTGTGAACAAAACAGTGTTTTAAGCGTGTTTCTAAAAGGTAATTTTTCACATCCGCCATTGTTACATATAAGGCCTCATATGCCTAACCTCCCAGAGGTTATCGTGCAACAGACACCGCAACATCTCTTCGTCAACGCCCTGCCGCCACCACTTTACGAGACGNCCGTATGATTTTTTCCACTTTCTACAGCCAGCTATATGATTTTCTATCGCCTTCTTCAGTGGGCTATAAGAACTCCTATGGTATTTGAAACGCAGCTCCTATCGCCAATTTTTACCAGGGCGATTATGACCTCGCCGCCATTATCGCGGAATTTTGGCTTGACCGATCATCAACGGAAAAACGCTTTTAGAGATAAACGATAAAGCACAGAAACATAGCCCGAATACACGAATAAATGAGTGGTTAGGTGATGACGGCGGGGGTTCGGTCGACACTCATTTTTTTTCTTTCCTTTTATTTATTTATTTATTTATTTATTTGTGTTTTTTGCAGATGAAAATGGGTTGGTAACAACTCGAAACGTCCTGTCTTTTAGTGTTTTAATGTTTTAGCCTTGTTTACCCATGTTTTAATTTCCTCCTCGTTTCTTAGAGATATAGATAATACACAAAGAAAGCCCAAATATTTTAATTAGAAAAAATACAAAACAATGGGTGATCAAGGCTAAAAACAGAGACATAAGAAACCTGGGACGTTTCGGGGTGGTCTCAACCCCCTCCTTCCTCAGGAAACAAAAATAAAATTTAAAAATAAACTTAATAACTTAAACTTAAACTTGAATAAAATTTATTTTATCTTTTTATTTTTTATTTATTTTTAAATTTTATTTTTGTTTCCTGGTCGAGGTGGGGGTTGAGGCCACCCTGAAACGTCCCACGTTTTTTTTTTGTGTCTCTGTTTTTAAAAATAGTTCACCTCTTATATCCAATGAAACTCTTCGCGCATGAATAGGGAACGAATACATTAGCAGGGTTGGTACTTAGTGTGGGGACATTAAAGGTCAAAATTATAATATTTCAGTCTGTAGCCCCGGCATGTATATGTAAAGTCTCTCTTACATCAACGCACTCTGGCGTTCTGCGACACCCAAACGCCACATATGAGGACTTATCTGTAACAATAGCGGATGTGAAAAATTACCTTTTCAAAACACATTCAAAAAACTGTTTTTGCATCGAGAAAATTTTGAGAAAATACTTGAGATGTGATTTTCGAGATCTGTACATTATGCCAGAGCCAAACATATTAAATTTTTGTGTGAACAAAACAGTGTTTTAAGCGTGTTTCTAAAAGGTAATTTTTCACACCCGCCATTGTTACACATAAGGCCTCATATGCCTAACCTCCCAGAGGTTATCGTGCAACAGACACCGCAACATCTCTTCGTCAACGCCCTGCCGCCACCACTTTACGAGACGTCCCCGTCCCTGGCAACGTTACTAATTTGTATTCACTCTCTATTTTTGCATGGAAAGTTTGACTTGATTATGATGTAGACTCGATCATAGTGATGGAATATCAGGGATTTCTGATAAAAATGTCTTAAAATTCAAAAATTATCAACATTCATCAATAAAACAACGAGCTACACTATTGCATGAGTAAGAAGTAAGTATACAACTCCCTCCCGTGATACAATTATTTTGACTTCCGTGTGAGTAAAACTGCATGAGCGTCTGTTTGCAGGAGTAACTAACCGCGAAACTCAGGAATTTTTCCATAAAACCTGATTTTAAACCAGATCGTTCCTTACTTAGGGACATAGGCGGTTCTAGACCTTCATGCTTGGGGGTGCCCAGAGGTGGAAAATGTCGAAGATCGGTCCCGAAGGGGACGGTCGCTCAGGGGAGGCCTAAGTTTCGACCCTCAAGTTTTATCCCTTTCCTACCCTCCCTTCTTTTTTTCTCTCCTTCCTCTCTACTTAAATACCTATGAATTCAATATAGAAAAATTTTAGCAAAACTTTCCATCAAAACTACAATCTTACCATAAAAAAAACAGTAGAATCTTTGCAAAGCAATGCTATCAATATTAATTCTGTTTAAAACATTTTCAATTGATTGCTAGGATTTTTTCTCAGTACAAGCGAGTACAGAATCTTTAAAAGCAGTAATTTCACGGTTCCGATAACCGCACTTAATTTTTGCTTGGGGGTGCCCGGCACCCACAGGCACCCCCGTAGAACCGCCTATGCTTAGGGTTAAAGGTTCTCATGTCTAGGCCAAACTTACGTGAGAAAGTTGAATACTACAGGCATGTAACGCATTCTCATCGCAAGGAGTTTGCCTGCATTACCAGTGTAGGGGCGCCCCTCAACTCGCCGGCGAACATAACACAGGTTCGTTTGCTTGACATGCGATCCTCTGGCTTCATAATGTCTACAAATCCTTTCTGGGGGAAAAAATAGAAGTCCTTGGCTATGTGCCACAAATGCATGTCCGTAAGGGCAAACAACCAATGCCTCGGCTCAGCGTCTACGCTTGTTTTCGACCTTTAAAAAAAAAAAAAACAAAAACAAAAAAAAAACAAACAAAGGTCATGAAATTACTGACGCTTTGAGAGAAATTACTCGAGCCTCGGTAAAAATTGTCATAATGCTAACATATTAATAATTAACAGGATTGTAAAATCAGAGGAAATACAGTTTAGACACCTCGCACTGATTTCCTCCCTGCAATGTAAAAATTAGGGAGGGGGAAGGGAGGGTTTGAGCCAGCTTTACGGTGCGGCACAAGGGGAAAGGGGAGTTAAATTCGTCGGTACGTAACAAATCTGAGTCTTTGAGGAAAATTTGAAAAAAACGTGCAAAAATTGAAAATACCGCCCTTCCCGAATGAATCTTTTCGGCGCGTGACCCAGCCGACGCACAGTGGATCGAGTCAAAAAGAGAGGTCGGACATGAAATATTTGAAATATTTCGTCACATTTTAAATTTCAAGGGGTGCTTTCGGAAGAAAATTTTACGAGGAAAACAATGAAACCACTTCTAGGACCTCAAAGTTTTGTATGAACTGAGTTGTAAGTGTTTTAAGTGTCCAATTTTTGTCCAACCTCTCCTATTGACTCGATCCACTGTGCGATGCAACGGTTTTCACACCTTTGTTGAACTCTTCCCGTCGTATTTCAGCCAAATATCTCCAAGAAACCCCCGAATTTTTCAAGCTGTCTTCGCAGCGATTACTTAATTGATTTTTTGAAAATGGGAGGGAGGGTCATGCCCGCGTTACGTAATTCAAAAGGGGGGTGTAGGGCTGCGTCACGGGTGCGTTACAAGGGGAGGGGGAGGTAAAAATCGGAAAAGTGTGTTACGTAATACTTAAACGGCCCCTGACGATCCAAATTTTTAGTGTTTCATCCCATACTCATGAGGAAAATGTGCCATGAGGAGATATAAGCCAGAGAGGCTCAGTTGCATTACAATATTTCAAACTTTCTCCTGCATGAAAATTATATTCATGCTCTTTAACGGGTTTATTGCACTGCGCAAAACAATCCAAGGAATTTTGGACTCATTTTGAGAAATTCACGGAAATGTTCAACAGAAAGTTTACAGTCGTCCCGCACTTAAGAGAATTACCACTGACAGCTGCAAAAACACGGGACAGCAGATCTGACACTAAAGGGAGCGGTCATTATACATTGATGAGCAATTAAGTTACCATACGGATGAGAATGTAACAATGTCCCCGTTTTTGAACTTAATTTCATTGCATGGTGCAGAATAGAGGTAAGCCGCCTCATCACATCGAACTCCTAACCACGGGAGGGTTGATAAAATAATCCATAGCAGACCTGCAAACGAATTCGGGAAAAAATTGAGAGACACTTATTGAGCAAAATAACAATACTTAGTGATCCTGGACGTTTTTTCAGGAGTTTTTTAGTTTCTTCTATACAGGGTGCCCCAGACCACCCATAACAGGCCTTTTTCTCGGTTGGTTTAGGTCGTACAAAGTCGAGGACCAGGGGATTGAGTAGGGAATCAACCCCAAAAATCCGAATTCCATGGTCCCGGACCCCCCTCCAGCCCCCCTTGATGAGTAAACGGAAGTCAGTATCCTAAAAGTCGAGATTCCCTCGGGTGTATGGTATTTATCTTACAATTAGAGCTAACATACTTAATAGACCCTTGGACTGTCGGACAAAGTGCCAACGAAAGCCATACGTTACATTAGCTCTTACCAAAATGTCACGTAAAATATGACCCGCGCAACAAAAAGTAGTAAAGTTAACTACCAACTAAGATACTGGCGTTTCTCGATCGTTCTCGATGCGCAAATTCATACTTTCCACTCTTGAAAAAAAACCAAAATCGGTACTAGAGTGAAATCGGAAAAGTGGTGGAAAAGTTAATGAAAAAAGAACTGTAAGCGATTCTAAATAATAATTCAATGCTTTAGGTGAGGAAACTTAGACATTTGAGTACTTGCCCATATATTGAGAGGCCAGGACGACTTCAACGAAGATTCCGACCGTTATTTTCACCAGCTTACACACAGCTAATGCACGAGGCGATGATGAGGTTCATGAAAGGTGCCACCTTCCAAGAAATTTTTTTTGAAATGACAAGCAGAGCAGAGTAGAAATGACGCGTTTGGAACGCGTCATATAATTTTCGATTCAGAGAAAGTCGCGATTATGCGGTTTTAACGTGTTCATTAATAAAAAAAAAAAAAAAAAAAAAAAAAAAAAAAAAAAAAAAAAAAAAAAAAAAAAAAAAAANAAAAAAAAAAAAAAAAAAAAAAACCGCAATAGGTATCAGATTCATCCAGTTCATGAATTGTTCGCACTTTCTCAGTTTCGCGTGAAGCCAAAGGTGGGATGACGCACGACTCAGTTGGATATTTCAAAAAATGGGATGAAAAAATTTGAAATGCAGGAACGTTGAATTAGCAACTCCAGCGTAGAGAGAATTTTTTGAGTGGTCACGATACGGTATAAGCATCTGCGTGGAGATAAAAGTGTATTTCTAAGAAGGCACACATACAAGCTTTTCTTATTCCCCATTTTTTACGATGAAGCGCATTGGAAAATGTCGTTGTTTGTCAGCCCGCTTGAGTATACACGTTGACGTTTTTTTTCTCATCTATTCTGCCCTACTAAGGAAAAACGCCGTATGTACATTCGAATGTTGCCAAATGTTCGAATGTTCCTCTCATAAAATACCTACTTATTTTTGAAAAAAGCTGTGAATATGTTTCCGAGAAATTTGCCGACTGTTTAATCAAATTACAAACGAAATCCTTTAAGAAATCGAAAGAATTTGAAGATCCGCAAATATCTCTAAAAATTTGTGAGTGTAAAGCGAATTTTGTCCATGGCACATGCGGTGTTTTCATTAGCATGACAGTATTTTTTTACCTCAAACCTCTCTCAAACAGCATGTAAAGGTTCAGAGTTTCGAGCATAAAAATTCGTGAACACACTGGAAAAAAAACACATTGGATCTAGAGTTCAGATTCTTGAAAACATTGACAAGAAAAATACTCTTGATTCAATCACATTTTTGCTTAAATCAAAAGGAAATCCGCTCAAATTAAGAGGCTTGGTTCTTGATTTAGGCAAAAATCCGATTGAATCAAGAGTATTTTTTCTTGTCGATGTTTTTAAGCGAGTCTGGACTCTAGATCCAATGTGTTTTTTTTTCCAGTGCAAAACACCCTTTAACTTTATTTTTTAAATTGAAAAATTTGCAACGTCATGTTTTAAAAGCTTACCTGATTTTTTTTTCTCCGTGTGAAGAATTTTCTGTGTAATATTTAAACAACGGTATTGATTCTTTTTCATGTGATTAAAGAAACTGGGAGCGGGGATTTTAAAACGCCACTAAAGGGGTGCGCGTTTTTGCAGTTTCACCATCGAATAGTGAAAAATTTGCTTTCAAAATTCCAATACTTCGGCCATTTTTGCTGTAACTTGGCTCCTAAAAAAAATGCGGTCTGAACTGGATGCAACAATTAAGTTTCCAGTTTCCAAGTTAAAATATGTCCTCTATTTTATGTATAAATTTTTTGAACTGTTTTTATTCTATAAAATTCGTTTTTTAGCCGTGGAAAAGTGATTTATCATGCATTTTATCGTTTTGGCTCAAAGTTGCGCATCATTCGTTTCCTTCAAAAAATGTAATTTTGAGGTGTAGGGTATGCCCTGACATTATTTTGAAGCTCTACACATTCTGAAATGGAATAAGTAATGATCATGAACTATTTGCAGTTTTGATTTTATCAGGGGCGGGCTGGCCATGGATTCGGGGAGGCGATCGACCCCTAACAATTTGCCGCGGAGGTCCCGAAAGGGCCCCCGCGGCGAATTTTTTTCGAGTCATCGTTTTTTCCCATAATGTTGTAATTTTCTTATCCTTTTCAATCACTAAAAGGCCCCGAATTCCTTGAAAATTTATCTCTAAGAGACATGGAAGGTCGCCAAAAGCATTTGTGATGAAGTGACCCGCGATGAATCCTGAGAATGGGTTATTCTGAAGTTCAAGCACTGTAGAATCCAACTCCAATAATGCCTACGTGTTTAAAAAATGTGAAATTTTCAAAATCCGTTTAAGGGCGCTAAAGCTGGGGTTGTATTTCGCAAAAAGATAATTTTTGCAGAAAAATTAAAAATTTAGAAGCATTAATAATTTAACCAATTAACAAAAGGAACTCAAATCGACAATATAATGCACACAAATTCGGAAAGTCTCGTCAGGTAAATACAGAAGATTCGAAAACGCCTTCAACTGAAGCGTGATACCTCACGCGCACCGGGGAGTTCAAATAGTTGTATCCCTGCGCCTTGGCAAGGCTATGGAAGCTTAATATTGAAGTAGCATCCCCGCGTTTTTTTCGGTTTTCCTGTGCCGCTACCGTAGTTTCGATCGTTCAGGCCGTAGTTTCAGGGCGCTAAATCCAGGGTTGTATTTCGCAAATGGATAATTTTTGCAGAATAATTAAAAATTAAGCAGTAGGAGTAATTTAACTAAATAATGAAAGGAACTCAAATCTACAATATAATGCAAAAAAATTCGGAAAGTCTGCTCTTCATGTAAATACAGAAGATTCGTGATACCTCACGCGTTCCGGAGAGTTCAAATAGCCGTATCCCTGCGCCTTAGCAAAGCGATGGAAGCTAAATATTGAAGTAGCGTACTCGCTTGGTTTTTCGGCTTTCCTGTGCCGCATTTTATCTATAATTTTTTCTTTTAACGCTTCTCATTTATTTTCATAATTTTCTATCGACGAATAAAAAGTTACGATATCCTTGTCCTTTTATGTATTTGTATCACCGAATCTTCATGATTATATCGATTATCTTGATCTTAGCCTCGACTCAGTTTCCCTAATTATTATTTTTTTGTTTTGTTTTTTGCCATATCCTTTTTATTAATTAATAGCTTTATAAAAGGTCAGACAAGTTCGTCATTCTCCGTGGTAAGTCTATGTTAATCCAAAGGGTATAATGGTTGAAACTTGGTACAATGACTGACAAATGGATGTTGTAAGTCGGCAATCACATAACTCCGTTTGCGACATCGCAGACTTCCTGTCATACCCTATTTTTCAAACGGAAAACATCTCAACGGCGACTCTTAAAAACTGCCGTGATTTATCTTTTCCGTGCGAAGAAAATTCTGCATAAACTTCAAGGAATAATGTCAATTTGTTCTCATTTAAAAAAATAACATAGAGGCGGAGATTTTCAGACACCGCAAAAACGAGATATAAGATTGCGGACTCACGCCGTCGATATGTGATTGCCGACTTACACAGTTACACCGTCGAAAAACTGATATCATTAAACTGCCTTCAATATTTTGAACGGCAATTGTCGCTACAGTTAAATACTCGCCGTAGTTTAAACAAGTCGTCCATATAATAGGGGTCAGGCCGGTAAGACGAGAGTTTACTTACGTTGCTCCTAGAGGCCGCTGGTCAGGCGCCGAGCGTCGCTGCAGTCGCCGTTGTTTTCATCATTATTTTAAAAAATTCAGATTTTCTCGGGCACTCTACTCGGCCGCAATTTTGTTCAATTTTGACTCAGTTTTAGTTGAGTTTTCTTTCAACTATGAAGCCTTTCTAATTTTGATTCCAGACTCGACAGCGGTGTTAATTACTAACATATTTTATAGTTATTACCATTAAATATCTACCACTGGAAACGTGCTTGTGTTTTCTGCGATTTGCACTACGGGATACGGTTGATTTGTAGTAAGTAAATCCATTGTCTACGAACATGTTGAAGAATCGTGTTTTTAAGGTTACGTAAATAATCTTCTTCCTTTACACCTCTGAAGCTCAAAATTAGTGCCAAATGCTAGAGTAGTGTTCATTCAATAGCCCTTCGTTACTTAATCTACGATTACTATGTGCTGTGTTTCTCCTAGTGTTCCTGTGCTTTAATTTGTGTGTGTCCAGAAATTTACCATCCAAAGGAATTAACTACACACTTAGTGATGCTGTTTGGAACTTCCTGATCAACTTTTGAAGGTGCGTCACCATCAGTTTTTATTCATACATTATCAACTCATTAAGGTCAACATCGAATTCAGAGGGTTTGGTGTGTATTGTCATTCGCAGCTTAAAGATGCTCGCCTATTCACATTCATGATGTATTTAACGTTTGTCTCACTCGCATCTTGCGTCGTACCGTCATGTTATTCTTGATGTTATCTTTAGTCAGTACCTGTATTTTGATGATCCTACTGATAAGCGTTGATTGATGGAAGATTTTCTCCCTCATTTTACGGAACAGGGGTGCAAACACTTCCGGACCAGGGGGTAGGGCCGGGACTTTTTATTTCCTGCCAAGTAGGGATCAAAACATTAAAACGCTGTGTTTTGGGGTAACAAAACTGTCAACCATGTTACTTTATGTGTCAGGTAAAATTCTTCCAAAACTTGAAATGGAGGAACGTACATTTATTCTGGGGGAAACCTTGGAAGTTCCTGCACCCCTGGTACAAAATGTGTCAGACCGATCTCAAAACTGTCATCTAGAGTCCACGCCAACTCAGTTTACGCTCCTTAGACTGCAACAGGAGATCTGTTATCTTAATTCTAGCATTTACTTTCCATGCGAAAATGATGTCAGACAATTTTCTGTCGCTGTCTTCTGACTCTAGTCGGCAGTCCTGAGCCTTTTACTGGTTTTTGCTTTACAGTAAGTACTTCCCGTTATAACTTCCTATTGAAGGAAGCACTAAAGTTCTGAGTCTTCTGTAGAATGGGTAGCAGATGCAACACCATCAACATTGTTAAATTTTTTGCAGCATGCAATCATCAACTTCCTTGTCGGTACTTCTTACATTGCTCAACCATTAGCTAGCATTAATTGAGAGTGGCAACTTTATGAATCTTAGTTATTGATGCGGATCATAGGGGCCAAAGTTGAAATGAATTCATTTTGCCATGTAAAGGGAAACGCAGTATTACAGGATGTCTACTCGTCTGGAAAAAGCACTGATTTTTTAATTGTGGTTTGTACTGAAAAAATGCGGATATTCCACAAGAAGGTCCGGAATTTTCACCGTCATACCATGCGTATTTTTTAACAAAGCCTGGCAAGTATGCAATCCCTTGCGTGTTGTTTCTTAGAGTATTTGCTTGCAAGATAGCAATTGTGCAGTCAGTTAATCTTCACCACCAATAAAATTTTGTGTCTGTGTACTTTTTGTAGCAATTCAAGGGAGAATTTCAAATTTTGTCAAATGGAAATATTGAAAAAGTACCAAATTCTTCTGTCTATTCTGAATTTCTTGGGAATGCAAGTACTGAAAAAGCACTGTATAAAAGTAGGTACTGATAATGAGTTTTGGCCAGCCTGTTTTAGTAGACACCCTGAATTAGCACCTGATTAAGGTGATTCGATGGACGCCATATTTTATGTCAGAACGACGTGCGATGTATCGCATCGATTGGCTCTACTTTTCAGCTACTAATCCTTTTTCTCGAATTTTGAGATCGCAATTCTGTTGTCGGGAGACTAAAGCACTTACTTACCAATTTTTACAAAGAAATTCAACGTAATAAAGGCGTGGTTTTTTCAGAGGAAAAATATCGCATTCGATACTGATATCGAAACTGCACTCGAATGCGATATTTTTCCTCTAAAAAAACCACGCCTTTATTACGTTGGATTTCTTTGTAAAAATTGGTAAGTGAGTGCTTTAGTCTCCCGACAACAGAATTGCGATCTCAAAATTCGAGAAAAATGACGAGTATCTGAAAAAATGGAACCAGTTGATGCGATATATTGCATGCCGTTCTGACACAAAATATGGCGTCCATCGAATCACCTTAATTCCAAATTTTCTAAGATGATATAAGTATACATCATTTCATCCTCAAGGAAAGTCATAGATATTTTTGCTTGAGATTTTGAGATATCCTCCATTAAGCTGCTAATTGCCACTTACAATTTCAAAAAAAAATATTTGTAAGTTTTTCAGAGAAATCACACTCTGTCAAAAGGAATTGGGCAAAATCTCCAACGTTAATGCAGCATTTTCCCCCAGCAAGATACCGTTTAATTATTTGGTTGGTGCTAACAATCCATTTTTCTTGACAAGTTTTGCAAATAAATGGCTTAAGTAAAAAAATGCATATCTCAATTGCAATGCTGCAGAATTTAGCTAATGATTTTTTTCTTTTGTTGGAGAAACTCACCCATAGTTTTTCTGTAAATTTTCTGTAAGTTTTCTCATGTTCCGGGTCTTTTGAACATTGCAATGGATACGCACTTCTCGAATTAAGCTATCGATTTGTTTTAGTTAATAGCGGAAGTCAAGTGCGCAACTATCCGAACTCCGAAGTTAGTATGAGGTATCACGCGAAAATGAAGGAAAATCTTGACTTTTCGTCCGTCTCAAATTACTAACGTTTATATGAATATGGAAATTAATCGCGCAACTATTCGAACACTGGAATAGATATGTGGTATCACGCGAAAATGAAGGAAAATTCTAGCTTCTCGCCTGTCTCAAATTACTAACGTTTATATGAATATGGAAATTAATCGCGCAACTATTCGAACACTGGAATAGATATGTGGTATCACGCGAAAATGAAGGAAAATTCTAGCTTCTCGCCTGTCTCAAATTACTGACGTTCATAACTGCCACGATATTCACGGGAAAAATGTGTGATACTTATTTTCTCGCCTCCCTTGTCCGTAGAGGAAGGATTGTCATTTTGTTTTACAAAACCGCTTGAAATCGCGTTATTGAGGTGAAAATACCGGTAACCTTTTATATTTTCTTACTAAACCGCTGGAAAAATCGCGTATTTGCCAAGGTGCTACGGCTGCTATCATACAAGGTGCAAGTTTAGCCAAGGCTTGGCTAACCTGAGATATACGCGTATATTTTTTATTTGTTTTTTTTCTTATCGAAAAGACTGAGACAGAAAAAATATAAATAAAGGTATTGCGTTATTCGGTTGCTGCGGTACACCTAACGATAGCGCCTGTGCATTTCTGTCGAACCGAGATAAGCGAAAGTGCCTTCAATTTTGAATATGCAACACGTATATCCGTGGAACACGAATAGTTGTATCAAGGCACTATAGTCAGTCTAGTCTTTGTGAAGCGGAAGCTCCTTCAATTTTTGATTATGCAACACGCACATCCGTGGAACACGAATAGTTGTATCAAGGCACTAGGTATAGTCGACTCGCGATCACTCTAGTCTTTGTGAAGCGGAAGCTCCTTCAATTTTTGAATATGCAACACACACATTCAAGATACTAAAAACCTACGCAAGATTTTATAAAAACCTCATATTTTTTTCTAAAGCTCGCGACGAATTCCTTAGAAGTCGGTCAGCGTGGGACATCCATCGATTAGCGTTTGATAGCATTTAAGACTAGCGCCCCTTTGCCATAATTTTCAGAATTTTGACCGGCCTGTCCGCGGACTGGCTACCCAGCTCAAGAAATGGGCAAGGACATCGGTCTTATTTACAGAGCTCTGATCCAAACCAGTGGTGCGGCGTGAATTGCGATATATCGATTGTTATGCCATTTAAACCTATGGTAAAGAATCGATTATTAAGGTGTTCGCTGCGAACACCCTGTTTATCGATTCTTTTCCATAGGTTTAAGTGGCATAACAATCGATATATCGCAATTCACGCCACGCCACTGATCCAAACATGTTTATATATGGATCATTTTCTACCTAAAAATAAGAAAAACCGGAAACCCCGAAAAATATTCTGCCAGGATTTGGTTATTAGACTGCAATATGCGAATTTTACATTTTGCAACTACGTAGGAATCAATATTTAGGCTCATCCATAACAGAACCTAGCTGCACAGATAATCAAATGACGCATACGTTGTTTCTGAGATGAGGCAGAAGTAGTAGGTAGTATTTTATTACAAAATGTGGTCGCGCACCCAAGTACTTTTCTTCTTTCTGAACACGGCAGTATTCTTTTGTTGGGCTGGCAACCGCGTTTTGAAGGATGGTACAGGTTACGGCCTCACGCCAGTGTAGGTTTGAAGTGGAAACAGGGGGGGGGGGGGTNGGGGGGGGGGTTAGCTGCCAGAAGGAGATCAAAAAGATGAAAGGCGGTAAGGAGAGGCGTACGCGTTGTTTATGAGCATCCTCGGCGCAGGCACTGTCTTTTCCTTTCTTTTTATTTTTTTGTTCATTCTCTCTGAGCACCTTCCACGCAAAGCTTTGACGTCTGAAGGGGCCGTCCGATAATGAATATAGGCAATTTTTTCGTTTTTAAGCAATAACTGCGACTCTAATTCAGTGATTTGCTCATCTAATTTTACTCGGGCTTTTTGAGCGTGTCTACGGGTTTCGGAGACCGGGCATTGTCGAGATATTTCATCAGGTCGGGAAAATCCGGGGCAATTCAGGGAATTTCATAAATAATACTAGAAATTTGAAAAATCTTGAAATTAAATATGGAAAAACTTCAGCGCCCCCACGCGTTACTGAACGGATTGTTGGTTCGGTTCGGGGCTCAATGCTCTTGAGTTCCTAGCTGATCAGTAAACAGAGGAATAGGTTTTGTGAAGCGGTGGATTCAGAAAGGGCATTTCTTGGTTGCAAAATCTCTCCCAACGTTTCAACCATCATAATTAAAGCAAATGCATGTAATTTTTTCATCCTCATACGACGCTCTTTCTTTATAGCTCAGCAGTATTGGAGACATCACTTTTATGATTTTAGGAGATAAATTTCAGCGCGAGCATGCCTCAATGCACGATCTAGCGTCTGAATTTTCGATTTTTCCACAATTATCCACCAAATGGTTGTTTGAAATCCATCGATCATACTCAAAATGCATTGAGCCATAGCCATAGCTGGGGATTCACCTTAAGGTGATTCGTCAAGCTCAAGTGACGTGGTCGAACTGCCGTGCGATATATCGCAATGATTTGTTTAAAAATCTCGGCAGATTTTGAATTTTTAGCCGAACAAAGGACGATTGCCCCTGCGCCAGAGCCTGAAGAATCATTCTAAACCCAAA